CTTCCAACAGGAGCCCAGCACCTTCTCCTCAGCCTTCCAGAATCCACCCCACTTCAAACACCCCTTAGCATTCGCCGTCCCCTCTCACGCGGCGACTCTATATGCCTAAGAGGAGAACTGTGTTCTTCTGAGGCACCTCTAAGAATATGAACCCTTCTGTTCGCAAATGAGACCCCCCCCCCCAGCATACAGGGTCCTATTTTTCCTGAAACCCTTTGAGAAAGCACAGGCAGAGGGGCAGCAGGTTTGGGGAGAAATTCTAGGCTGAGGGCTCTGAGATGCAGCATGGCGACTTCAAGGAGCTAGGACACAAACCGGGAGGAATTCAGGCCTCTACCAAGAAAACGCTTTTGAGTTATACTGTTGTTTGCTTCCAACAAAGTGACCCATCCACAACGACCCCACAGGCACGACAACTCAACAGTGCCCAGCCCTGAGCCATGAACATGATACTGCACCAATGGGATCCAGAAAGCTCTCATGAGCTATTTTTTAGAAGTAGATCTCCAGGCTTTTCTGCCTAGTCCTGCTTAGGCTACAAATGCCACTGACACCTGATCAGCAAAACACAGGCTTCCTCTGACAGAGTGGTGGTAGCTGTACACGAGGTTCCATGGCTGGTGGCGAACCCTGGTCTCTCTGGCATAGAAGGAAGGGAGGATTTCTACCAGTGCACTAGCAATGCCCCTGCAAGTTAAACCAGGTTCATTTCTTTAAAAAGACAAGTTTATCTCAGGCATAATCTTCCTTCTCTCCTTTAATCTTCTTGTGAATGTGAGAAACAAAGGTAGAGTGCCTCGCTCAGATGTGAGATCGAACGATTGGTGGGGTTTCGTGTTCTGCACTCACCCATCTGCGATCCAGAACAACTGTACCTGGGAGTTTGTGTTTTATTTGTGGAGTGTGCACTGGGGAGCTGAGGCCCCAGATCGCCCACAGTCCCTTCCCACCAGTGCCTCTTGTCCCCAGGTGGGCACGTTCCCCACCCTACTGCCCTGGCACCCCAAGCCCCACCAGTCTCCCCCGCTGCATTTTCTGCCCCCCTCTGCTAGCCACTGGCTGGGAGCAGTGAGGTTGGCATCTCGAGACCCACCCTTCAGGTGCCCATGTCTATAGATGTCTCCCTGCAACTTGCCGGAGTGTTTGTCTCTTCTGGTATCCCAGGCGCCCTCCAGGACCAGCTATGGTCACAAGGAGACGGTGCACACAATGTCACAAACAAGTGAAACACGCCAAGATTCAAATTGAAAATATGCATTGCATAAGACAAAGATGAATGATAAAAGCCACATTAGCAATTTAAAATTATATTTTTTCTTTACTTAGAATAAAATTAAATAGCAAATTAAAACACCATGACAAGTCTAGAGAGATGGTAGAAGAAAGGACAAGGGTTTCTATTTCTGTCTTTTAACACTTTGTGTTTTGGACAAGGTGGCTCCAGAATGTCCTCCTGCACTAAGCCTTCCATGTTACACAGGTCTAAAGTCAGCTGAGCATCGGCTGGCAGTATGCACAATGAGTATTAGACAGACATATGGACTGGGAGGTAGACTGGCAAAGAGGGGCCAGTCCTTGAAACAAAGGCATGCTGGGAAAGGTAGAGGGTCAGCAAGAGAGAGGAAGACCCCCAACAGAGTGGACTGACACAGTGCAGCAACGGGCTTGAGTCCACCTGAGATGATGAGGATGGGACAGAACAGGCCAGGGTTCAGAAGGTCACTGTCAACCCGGTGGCACCTGACAACAATATGCGTCTAGAAGGACACTCTGATGGGCTAGTCGGTAGGCACTGCCAACCCAAAGGCAATGACTCTCTGAAAAACGGAATCCACCAGCAGGAAAAGATGGGCTAGCAGACTCCAAAAGCCTTCCAAGTCAACAGCAAGGAGAGTGGAGGGACGCATCTAGAGAACTCCTGAGCGGTACAAATGGCTACCACACTCAGCAGCTCTGGGTCTACCTAGAGGCTCAGAGAAAAGGTCTGGCGGTCTACTTCCAAACGTTCAGCCACTGAAAACCCTTGGCAGCACAGTTCTACTCTGACACATGGAGGCGTCATGATCAGAGTCAACTCCAACACAGCCAGACACAAGGAGCTTTCAGGGAGCAAGGACAGCATTAGTCGGTGGATGTGGCAGCTCAGAACCTCTCAGGGGCAGGGACAGAGTCAGATGATCCAGGTGGCTCAGTCTGTCCCTCCTCTCATCTGTCAGTACTGCAGGGATGTGGAGGGACCAGGTGTGTACAGCTGTTCAGTCCAGATGACCTCAGGCTGGGAGGCAGGGGAGGCCAGTGCTTTGGGGTGCAGAATCTGAGGGTCCTGCGTCCATTAGCCTGTGATGCCAGGCCACTCTGCTAGGGGAGCCCCCTTCTTCTCCTGCCCCGCCCCATGCCTCAGTTGGGGTCTTCTGGTCAAGAGGTGACAGCTTTTCCCCCCAGAGCGTCCACACACCTGGCTGGCAGGTAGGCTACCCAGAGGTCTGTAACAGAAGCCGGCAGGAAGTGGGCTCCTGCTCGGGTCCTGGCCAGTCCGGGAGGTGAGGCGGCCCTGGCAGAGAGGGCGCTTCTAGTGGCTTCCAGTAGCCAGAGCGGTCTTCCCTTGCTGCTGATGCCAACCCACACCCCGCGCCCCACCCCCCCTCACACCTCATGTGTCCCACTGCAGAGCTGTGCCCCCAAAAATCAACAGCTGGCTTTTCCTAAGGAGGTCACTAGAACTTTCTTCTGAGGTGTCTCTGGGTGGAGTCAAACCGCCAACTTTTCAGCTAACGGTCAGGGGTCAGGCATTTTCACGGTTTGCACCACCAGGGACTGCAGCCCCAGAATAAATACCCCAAGGAGCGTGGGCGGTGTTAATGGGGACGGAGGGCACAGCCAGAGGCCTCACCTTCCTTATTCACAAAGGGAGAAGGGGAGGGGAGGATGGGGCTCCATAAAGAGATTACTTGGGGGGTGCTCACGCACGTGCAGGCTTTAGTTCTAAATCTTAAGCAAGCTTAATCCCCACCATTTAGATAAATCAGATAGGCATTCATTACCAGGTGAGGGTTAAAACGCTAAGCACTGCTTCGAAGCTGATGACAAAAACAGCTGTTCTTAAGTCTTAACTGAGTAATTTGCAGCGTATTTCACCCCGGCTAATTAAAACGTAATCAGGACGGGGTGGCCATGTGGGTTCTGTCAGCAGTTTTTCTTGGGCAGCGAAACCATGCCAAGAAACCCCGAGAAAAGCCTTTCACGGGCACTGGCTGGATCTAAACTGTTTCTTTAGTCGCTGAGACTGTAAAACAAATACATTACTGCAACTGGCAATTCACTATTTTGTGAAAAACTATGTTTCCCCTTTGGGAACTGGCCGCTGTGCCTGATTCCTGTTCCGAACAATAGCGCTGCGTCTTCCCAGGAGCGGGGCTCCTTGAGCGCCCTCCAGAAGATCCCCTCAGTTCACCCTAAAGGAGCGCTCGCCTTTCTCTTTGGGGGGGGGGGGGCGCGCTGAGCGCGTCAGCTCCCCTGAAACCTAGAAAGCTGCTTCTTCCAATTCTTGTCGTTGACACCTGGAGTGACTTTGGACTCAGTGACGCCATGTGCGAGACGGAGTTTTCCAGGCGGTAATGCTTACAGGATCAGACCTCCAGGTCTTCCTCCCCCAGGGCCACTGGGGGGGGGGGGGAGGGTGTCAAACCGCTTAACTTTCCGTCAGCAACACCTAGCCTTCTTCTTGACTAGGGGCATGCAAAGCCTCACACCCCCACACAGGAAAAAACGCCTCCGGGTTCAGGCTGTGGAGAAGAGAGGTTTCATGCCCTCGCACCCCCCGCCAGAACCTTTCGATGCCCGGAAGATCGCCCCACTCCGCCCTGATGTTAACGTGCCTCCTGGGATAGCTCCCTGAGGAGGCCGCCTTCCCCCGCCAGGCCCGGAAGACGTGTGGGGAGTTCCTAGAACAGGGGGATCGGCCCCACCCCGCACCAAGCGCTCCCAGGTGTGCAGTGTCCCCTGAGGCCAGGAGTCAGGATCTATAACAGGTGGGAGGCCACAGAGAGGCGCGAGACCGCCCAGGAGAAATGGGCTGGCTTGGAGGCAAAGGCGTCGGAGCGCACCATTTCCATGCTCGTGCGCTCACCCGCTGGAAAACGGTTTCTGCGGGGTGCACGACCACCGTATGCGGACGCAGCTCAACTGTGGCCACCTGCACTCTGGTCTCCACACAAGTCTCCTGAGGTCCCAGACCCAGCGGTCTTCCCAAAACCCCAGCAAAAACGCCCTGAGTTCCCAGAGAGCGCCGCAGCCCTGCACGAGCCTCCGCTCTCAAAATACAAGCACCTGGGGGCGGGGACTAGAATGACCCTGGAACACCCAAGCACACCACCCTGGGTCCTAATCTTTGGGGTGCCTCTCTTTGAGCACCATGTAATTCCGGAGGAACCAGACCTCGAAGCTACAGGACTCATAAGCGGGGAGGCGCAGACACCCCCACGAAATACTGGCTCACGACGTGGTCCTAGCGGGGCTCGCAGGGTGCGCCGCGGTCCGGGCCGCAGAGCCAGGAAGCCCTCAGCCAAGAGAGACAACAGTGCCGCCCACGGGCACCTGCGGGGCTGGGCAGGTCGTCGTCCCCGGGAGTAAGGGCGCGATTCTCGGCCTCGCCGCCCGGGAAAGCGCGCCAGCCCGCTCGCCCACCTTGTCAACCCCGTCACTGCCCCTTGCCCAGAGCACACCGCTCGCCGTTTTCCGCGGGAAGACAGACAGTTGGGGACAAATGCTGTCGCCTACTTTGCGCCCCAGCGCAGGAGGCTGGAAGGAGGGTTCTACGCTCGGGTATAAAAATATACGCCGAGAAAAATACAAGTGGGGTCTGCGGTCGGCCGGCCAGGAATTTGGGGCACCGTGGCTGGAGGGGCGGCTCCGGAGTGCTAGGGGCCTGGGAGGGCCAACTTCAGGCGCCGTGGCTGAAGGCGCAGCCAGGCGCACCCCTGCGCGTGCCGGTATCCCGGTACCTGAAAGTGCTGGAAGAAGGCGGAGATGCGCGTGATCTGCAGGCTGAGGCACCTGGAGGCGCAGCGGGCGCGCTGGACGCTGCCGGCCGCCAGCGACTCGTCTAGGCGCCGCGCCGCCGCTGCTCCGGGCCCGGCTGCCAGGCAGCCCCCGGCGGCCAGCCAAAGACATAGGGTAAGGGTGGCGCTGGGCGCGCCTGGCTGCATGGCTGCGGGCGGACTCAGGTCAGCGACCGCTCTCCGGGACCGCGCGGCCGCAACTCGCCGAAAGTTCAATCGGCTCCTCCAGCACGAGCCTCGCCGCGCCTCGGGGGGGTGGGCTGAGGATGACAGGCGGCTGCGCATTGGCTGGAGACACTGTGAGTGACAACAATGGAGGGCCCGTGGCAGGTTTAGGAGCACAGGGCCCGCCTCCCCACGAGCTCTGCCCCACTCTCACTCCGCCTCCAGGGGGACGTCCGCTCCTCCGCGGCCTCAGGTGTGAACCTGGCCAGGCTTGCGGGGTCCCCTTCGGACCGAGGGCGGGAATGAGTTTGCGGGACCTGGGGCCCGGCTTCTTGTTTCTTACTCAGTCCCGATCGCTTTCTCAGAATGCAATTCCATTTTCCTAAGTACTGGGGAAGAAAGGGCTACGTATCAGAGTGAAGGGCCTTCCAGAAAAGCCTACAAGAGCACAGAGGCCTTTGACCTACAGCCTTCCTCCTCCCTCCCCGCTTCCTCTCTCTTCCTCCTTCCCACTCTTCTCCCCTCCCTCCCCTGTTTTCTGTTCCTCTTTGCTTTTTCCTTCCTCTCCCTTCCTGTCATCACCTGGGCAACAATCGGAATAAAATTCAATAGATACAGCACCTTGTCTCCGTGGGTCTGTTTTTCTAGAGCACGCCACACCCCTGCCCGGTGTGAGTGAATGACTCAAAACTGAATTCTTTCTCACACTCCCTCCTCCTCATACCCTCTAGCTTTGCCCCAAGCCTCCTTTCCACCACGGACTTCTAAGCTCTTCCGCCACCTCCCCCCCCCCCATTTCTAGCCGTGGGTAGCCCTAGGTTAGCAGCAGTGCTTAGTACACAGCTTCAGGAGTCTGCCCCATGTGGGCAAAATGCTTTGTGAGGAAGCACCGCTTCCCTTGTTTACTGGGTACTCTGACCCCAGGGCTGGGAATAGAGAGATGACTACAATCAGGTAAAGATAGGCTGCGATTCCTCTACACGCCTGTGCTAGCCACCGCTACATAGCATCTCAGCGAGGGACAGACAAAGGCAGCAACAGCCTGTCTTCACAGAAAACCACCAGAGACTATGGAGCTTACACACAGACACCAGACAGACATACAGGGACAATTCCCAGCCCTGCCCTCTGGTCTCCTGAAACTCCTCCATTCTTTGATTGGGGGGGGGGGCTTCTGAGAACAAATTATAATGACAACCATCTGAAGTTTTCCTGTGATCCCATGATCCTCTGTTCAAGCACACCCTCTCACACGTACACAGTTTAAACCAGAAGGCCTGAGAAAGTGAATTGGGTGATGTCTGTTTCTATGGACTCCAAAATTGCAGCATTGTTTTGGTAAACAGTGCCCGAAGGCCTTAACTGAGTTCCTGGGTGATGCTAAAGTAAATGTGCTCACCTGCTAACCCAAAGGCTGGAGCAGCCATTCCACCTAGGGGCACCTCAGAAGAAAGGCCTGGCAGTCACCTTTGGGAAGCAAATCACCAGTCCTGCCTTCCAAGCCACCTCTTTCCAAGTAGATAGCCAATGACTCCATTTGGCACTGTTACCTGATTCATAGTGACAACGAACTGTTGAAGCTGTTCTCTTTACAGAAGCAAACTGCCACCTTTCTGCCACAGAGCCTCTGAGGGATTTCACCTGCCAACCCATCATCAGCCAAGTAATTAACCAGCATGCAGCTGGAGCTTCTTCCATTTTGTAGCTGGTCCTATCCATAGGTCTTAGACATGACAATGGTAAGGCTGAGCTGGACACACGAAAGAGGGCCCCAAGCTTTGCGGAAAGCCCCCTAGCACCAATCAAACGCTTTAAAAATAGTACACAAGAACAACAATAACCACAAAACGGTTTCACTCTGCCAAGCTGACACAGAGGCCACTCAGAAAGCCCCCTTGGCCAGTGATGGGCGACACAGGGACTGTCTGCTGAAAGTCATCGCTTTCACTTGAGAATTGTGAAAACCATTTCCAAAACCTGCACCCTATCCTGGTGTTTACATTTCAGCAAATACCTGGTCTTAGTGAGGGCAGCATTTGACGCACGCCCACGTTTTCTTACGGCATCCGATTTCTAATATTGCATGTCCTATCATGAAATTTATATTCTAGAAAGTGAAACAGCAAGCCTGTCTGCTGAGCTTTTAAAAATAGCTTCCAAACATTCAAAGGGATCACTGTCTTTTCGCCCCCCCCCCTTGGGTGGGGGAAGCAGTGTGTGTTACTTCTATGGATTCCATAGTGCACTCATTTTCATGAATAAACGCATTCTATAATAAATCACAAGAGAATAACTAGCCGGTTGACCTGAAAGTGTAGGCTAGAACATTTAGGCTCCCTTATTCTGCATATGTTAGGATAATGCTTGTGGTTGGGCCACTTTCTGCCCTTGGAATGTTCACAGACAATCTCTTGGATTACTCAGGCTTTCCACTTGCTATTTCTTTTCATTGTAAATTGAATGACAGGCTTCAACATAACGGCTAAAGAGTTGGGTGAGAATATTTCAAGAGTAGCCAGAAATAGTTCTTTCGGGTGTAGGTTTGACTCACCTGTGCAGGACACACAGGTGAGGGCAGCATTTTTTGAGAACCTAACAAGCTCCTGTGCCTAGGGGTGCAAATGTCTCACTAACTTGAAGTGCAGAGGTCCTGGTCCACTGGGGCAACCTGGAAGAAAGGCCTGGCATTCTGCTTATGAAAAATCAGCCCTAGAAGCCCTTGTGGAGCACCTGTTCACCTAGACACAGGACTGCCAAGAGATGGAGTCAACTCAATGGCAAGCAGTTACCAGGTAGCTGTCACATCCCAGGGTCCTCAGGCTCAGAATGCCTGGTTCAGGGCCTCTCAGATGTGACTTTGGAACTGAACTTTTAAACATCCCTTGGTGATGATACAGCAAATAACCCAAGCATGACAGTTTGAAGACACTGATTTAGAAAACATGGAGCCATAAAAAAAAAACCAAACACCGAAGTGCAGGCTCTGATTGACATGGAACCGCTTGATGGATTTTTGCAGAAAGTGTCATTTCTTCGGCCTGTCTGTCTTGGTCTGGATTGGGTGGACTCGTCTATTTCTTGATGATCACGATGATGTATTTCAGCCCATGCATTCAGGCAAGACATGTTAACTTGTTAGGTTTTCAAATTTGTCTTTTAAAAGTGTCAGCTACCTTTGCTACAGACAAGACATGAAGAAATCAACCAGACCTTTCTGTGATGGCACCCCCTCATCGCCCCACCCACCCCGGAAAAGCAAATACGGAACTTGCTCCAGAACTGGAGAAGCATCAATCCATTCTTTTGATGGAATTCTAGTCTTGGAGAGAATGCGCCAGCCATTGGTTATGGATGGGCATCAGTGATGGGCGCACTGCTTATAGAGAACATTAGTCATGCAGTCCACTGGTTCTGGCGGCCACTAAAGTGGGAGTAGGGCACTCACCTAGTAGAAACTTCCCCACAGTGCTTCCAAGGCTTTGAATTTTTACAAAAGCAGATTGTCACACCTGCCCACACAGAGTGACTGGTAGTTTCGAACTGTCAACCTTTTGGTTAGCAACCAAGTGCTTCATTGCTGCGCACCATCAGAGCTCCTTACATGTTGTTATGTGCTGTCGAGTCGTTTGCGACTCATAGCGACCCTATGCACAACAGCCCTAAACCCTGCTCTATCCTGCGCCAACCACACTGCCTCTGACACACCCATCCCAATTACCCCAGTCACCGAATCAATCCACCTCATAGAGGGTCTTCCCCTCCTGCGCTGTCCCTCCACCCTCCCAAGCATGATATCCCTCTCCAAGGACCCGTCCCTCCTGGCAACATGTCCAAAGTATGTCAGACGAAGCCCCAGAATCCTTGCCTCCAAGGAGTGGCTTGGTTTAATCCTCTCCAAGATGAATCTGTTTGTTTTCCTGGCAGTCCATGGTACTCTCAATACTCTTCTCCAGCACCACAGCTCAAAGGCATCAATTCTCCTTCTATCCTCCCTAGTCATTGTCCAACTCTCTGACGCATAACAAGCGATTGCAAATACCATGGCCTGTACCAGGCGCACCTTAGTCTCCAGAGAGACACTGTTGCTCCTGAGTACTTTAGAGAGGTCCCTAACAGCAGACTTTCCCATCGCGATACGCTTTTTGATTTCCTGACTGCTGGTGCCAAGAGTGTTGACTGTGGAACCGAGCAAACTGAAGCTGTGAACAATCTCAATCTCTTCGTCATCCATCCTGACACTGCTGGCCATTATATGTATAGGGAGCTCTGATGGCTTAGTGGTAAGGAGGTTGCACTGCCAATTCAAAGGCACCTGGTTTGAATCTATCAGCTGCTCTACAGGTGACAGATGGGCAGTCTTCTCCCATGTGATTAACTGCCGATGAAATCCTGCATACAACTACAATTCTTTTATTTTCTTGTAATTCTAGATACCCTACTTGGGTCTGATTTGAGCACAGAGAATGTTTTTCTTGTTACCAAAATAATAAAATTTCCCTTGCCATGTACATAGACAGTTATTGTTATTGCCCATCACCTCGACGCTTAGTAAAACCTTACCAAGAAATAACAGATGCAAATGTGTTTTCTATTACTTCTGTGCACTAAAAAGTATTTATTGGCTTAAAAAAAGTTCATTTGCAAAATAAACAAAGTATTGTCAAGTAGCACAAATTCAGACTACTCCACATGGGCGTAGCTGGCATTTATCCTTACATCTTTCCCTCCCCTCAACTCCCCCGCCTGCCCCTGTCGCCTTTAACCACTGTCAGCAAGCCAGTTCTGACTCGTGCGTGACAACCGAACTGGGTTCCACAGGATCTGCTTGACTGTCATCTTTATAGAACATCGCCAGGCCTTTCTCCTGAAGTGCAGCTGAGTGGGTTTGAAAGGCCAACCTCTCAGTAAGTAATTACATCATAAAAACAAAAAAGCCAACTGTCTGCCATCAAGTGGACTCTGACTCATGGCAACCCCTCGCT